GGGCTTGGCCCCTAGGGATGTCTCAGGGACTGATGTGGTAAACTTATTTCCAGATTCTGGCTATTGTTGGCTCAGGTATTCATGTGCTAAACTTATTTCCAGATTTTGGTTATTGTTGGTGCTGCTGTTTATTTTCCTTTCTTAAGGCGTAACCTCTGTTCTGTAGTGTGTTAGATACCGTGGATTAGTATCTATTTATATTTGTATCTGTATAAATTTAGCCTCATTTTTTTGTGTGCTTGTCGCAAGTTATCTGATAGTGTCATCTGTTTAAGGTTCACAACTTTGGTGGTGATGACTTTGGTAATCAATGCTTTTGTTTGTACTCTGTCGTCTCACCGTTGGTTCAACTCGGTGAAGTTACCAATGCTAACCAAGGTGTATGTGGAGGTAGACAGTTCCGCCTCTGAATGCGCCTATTCGTTTGTTGGTTTCAGCCAGCCCAAACCAGTCAGTCAACAATATTTTTTTCTCATAATAAACTAGCACCAGCCAATTCAAACCAGCTCAGAAACCAACCAGCGAATAGGCCGCATAGCTTTTAGGTAAAAATGGTTAACCCGCATCCCCTAAAACTAGCCTTGGAGCCACTGAGCCAGATCCAAGGTCGGTCCATTCCCATCGCTATGCCTCACGCTTCGGCGGCCGCGGCGTCTCAGGCTTCCACCTGATCCGGATCTTTTCAGGGACAGGAAAATCGCATCCACGAGGCAACGAGCCATGGAGATCGGCACTGACATGCACACCAACAACCCGCTGGATCTCGCCAGGTCCCGCGTGCCAGTGCCACTTGCGACATCGATCGATTGGAACGAACGGGACGCGCCGTGGCATCACGAGACAGCCGAGACGCGCCAACGCCGTGGCAGCCGGCACCAAGTACAAATATGCTATCGCCCGCGCGCAACCGTCGCCATCTGCCTGTGCCGGGCCGAGCTCTCTTCTTAACTCGCTACCGACAACACATCGAACAATCCCGCGCGCACACTCGCACTCAACGCTCACTCACTGAGCCATTACTCAGCTCACCAAGTCCAGATCTCAATGGCGCACTCGCGCTGCCACCACCTTCTCCCCACGGCCATGGCCACGGCGTGCTTCCTCCTCGTGACCCTCCTCGCGCTCTGCGCCACGCCGGCGCCGGCCCACGGCGCGCGCGTCCTCACGCCGGGCTGCGCGGGCGCGGTCACCAAGGCTCAGCAAGGCGGCACCAGCAGCAACGCGACGGCGGCGGACGAGTACCTGGCGCCGCACAACCAGGCGCGCGCGGCGGCGGGCGTGGCCCCGCTGCGGTGGAGCGCGGACCTGGCCTCGGCGGCCGCGAAGACGGTGGCGCAGCAGCAGCGGCAGGGAGGGTGCGCGTTCGCGGACATGGGGGCCAGCCCCTACGGCGCCAACCAGGGGTGGGCCAGCTACCGCGCGCGCCCCTCCGAGGTGGTGGCGCTGTGGGTGGCGGAGGGGCGGTACTACACCCACGCCAACAACACGTGCGCCGCGGGGCGGCAGTGCGGCACGTACACGCAGGTGGTGTGGCGCCGCACCGCCGAGGTCGGGTGCGCGCAGGCCAGGTGGTGTGGCCTGCGCCACGGGCGCCACGCTCACGCTCTGCCTGTACAACCCGCACGGCAATGTGCAGGGCCAGAGCCCCTACTAGCTAGCTAGATAGCTACCTCAGCGGCGGCCGATCGATCAGGTCATCAGGTCGGAGCCTCCCACTGCCGGCGACGGCAGCGGAGTACTACGTAGGTTCTGTCTTCTCTTGTTCGGTGACTTCGGTCACGGGTGCTTTGCTTTGTGTTGTGGTGTAATCCGGTGGTGTTCTTGGTGTTCAGAACTGCTTTGGTTTGGCGTATCATCTTGTATTGCCGGGTAAAAACGCCTGTGAGCTGTGATGTGAATGTGATGCTTCATCCTTGTGGACTGTGCTGTGGATGCGTGTTGGCTGTCTTGATTCGCTGCATGCTTAAACTTCTACTAGAAAAAAATTGGATACTACTGAGTACAACCGAGGAGATTTGCTATGAAAGATTATTGAGCTAACTTCTAAGGAAACAATGAAAGTTATAGCACTACCAAGAACCCAAATTAGAGCTAAAATCAAATCTTCGAAAAATATACAGTTCTGTTGGTGATCCTTGTTGACATGTACTCCCTCCGTTCCAAATTATAAGTCTTTTTGATATACGAACCAAAAAGTCAAAGCGACTTATAATTTGGAACTGAGGGAGTATTTTTTTTTAAATAACACTATTTTACTAAAGAATTGCAGAACTAAGAGTTGGAATGAAAATATTGTTGATATAGGATATGTCCGGCAATTGTATGGCCAACAGGACCCTAATTGGCGAACCAATGGTATCAATAGATTGTGTCATGCGTTAGAGTAACTTGCAGGGTCTCTACTTGAGCCCTCAAAATTGAATTTGAGGGTCCAAGTCAAAAATTGAGCTTCAACAAGGCCCCTATTAGGGACCTCAAATTTGAGAGGGCCCTCAAACCCCCTCTCACCCATCGTTCCTCTCCCCGCGCGCACGCAGAACACACCTGTTCGTTCGCATTCGACCCAGCGCCGTCGCCTCCTCTGTCTCCGGCAAGGCCATTCGCTAGCACGGCTCTCTCGGCACGTCCCCTCCCAACAACTTCTACCGCACCTCCACCATCCTTCTCGGCAGCTCCCCTCTCCCTGGCGACGTACCCCTTCCCTAGATCTCCTCACTGTAACTTCCCCAGTCGACTACCACCATGACAAGTTCTCTACCTAGCTACACCCCTCTACCCTCTCTCTCGGATCTAGCGCTACATCTTCTCGTGCTCCGGTGAGCCCCTCTTCTTCTCCTCTCTAGCTTCTCTGGCTAGTTGCCGAGATATGTCCAAGTTAGTCAATGAGGAAGAAGATGAGAAAGAGGATGACAAATGGGTCCCACGTGTTATTCCCTACTAGAATAAATTTGAGGACCATATTTTGAGAGCCACCGCTGGAGTACAATCTAGAAAACATGACTCTCAAAAGTAAGAAAAACCCTTATATCAAAATTAGAGACCCTAATTTGAGGGCTCCTACTCGAGATGCTGTTAGAAGCCAATAGCAAGGCATGTTTCCCTTCTCTCGTCGTTTTGATTTTCTAGATTTTGTCTGTCCATTCCAAACAAGGTATTTAGGTACCTCTAAAAGCATTGTAATTTTTAAGTAGATGCTAAAGATAAAGCATAGTCCATTTTGTTTGGATTTAGCATAATTGATTTTATAATTTTGAAATTAAAATTCTTCCCATAATACTATATTTGACTTTTCACTTTAATTGTTTAGCTGTAAAATAGTTTCTAAAAATGCGAAAACCATCTAAATTAATGGTTCAAAAACTAGTATTTTTCATGTATTTTTTCTATACATGTGCTTAGGTGACATCCAGTTTTTTTTAACAAGGACATACTCAAAATTAAGTTTTAATTCAAATTAAATTTAAAATCATCTCCCTTATTAAGAAACGCTGGATGTCCCTTATTGCAATTTTTCAAGTAGATGTTACAAATCGAGCGTAACCCCTTTTTCTTGGATCTAGCATCACTGATTTTATAGTTTTAAAATTAAAATTCTTCCTATATCGCTATATTTGAGTAATAATTTATCCAATAATTTTTAACTATTCTAATATATACTTGACACAATTAGATTTGTAATTAAATGTACTATCTAATAATCAAAATTATATAATCATAACTAATCTAATATAAAATAAATGTATAATCAAAGTGTATCAAGTTAATTTAGATATGCCTTATAAAGTAGTCTGATAATCTAATTATATAATTATAAATAATCTAATATTTGGAGACCGTATCATATCAGGCTATGTCTTATAAATTGGACTAGCTGCAAAATAGTCTCTAAAAATATGAAAAAAACATCTAAATTCATGGTTCGGAAAGTAGTATTTTTCATGCAATTTTTCTATACATATGCTTAGGTGAAACCCATAGTTTTTAATGAAGGAATGCTCAAAGGTAAATTTAAATTCTAAAATATTTAAAATCATTCGAAACAAGCTTAATGATTTTAAATTTAACTTTGAATTGGAACTTCATTTTGATCATGTCCGTTCCTAAGAAAGTTTGGGTGTCCCTTCTTGCAGTTTTTTAAGTAGATACCTAAAATCAAGCGCAATCCATTTTACTTGATCTAGATTCATATCGAAAAAGTAGTATTGTTAAGTAGATAGGTAAATGGTGACATGGGTCACGTGTCACGTCGGCCATCTACAGAATAGGGTGATTGGTTTGAAAAATGACTCAATTTTAAATAAAGTGATATATTATGAGTCCATTCTTTAATAGGGTGTTTGGTTTGTAGAACAAGGTAGTCTATCACCATCTCACTTTTTAATTTTTTTGTTTGATTTATAAAATAGACTGAGTTAATGCATCATCACTTTATTCGTAGTAGGCTTATAATCAGTACTAGTATGAAAAATAAAGTCATTCCACAAATTTGAAGAATGAACTCATAATAAATCTATCACATCATCGAGAATGAATTGGTTCTCTAAACCAAACACTCTATAAATTTAGTGGAATGACTGCATTCCTCATAATAGTATTAATTATTAGCTTATGAGAAATTGAGTGACATCGAAAACCAATTTTATTCAACAAAACAAAAAGAAAGAAGAGTGATAAGAGACTAACTCCCAACTAATTCCTCAAACCAAATACCCTATAATTGCTTATATGTTACTAAGCAGCATCCGGCACAAAATTTACTTGAACGAGAATATGTTCAGAAAGAACTCTATATTCCAAAAAACACAGGTGTTTCTTCTGTGTGGTCATTTCCCATTGAGTTCATCCAGACAGACCAAGACTCAAAGAAATGGATTTATACTAAGACGATCGATAATACCCTAACCTTAGTAAACTAGTATTCTAAGCTTCTATTATTTGTTTGGACTAGGGCATTATATACGCGCAACACGAGCTGACACTAACACGAAAGTCTTGCACGTCTAACAAACCCGATGGAAGAAGATACTAAGACCGCCGTCGAAGACGCCGCCGTGGACTCCCGGCCATTCAGTGAGGTGGAACGACTCCGCGTCCGACGAGGCGACGATCCTCTCGAACCTCCCGCGCAGGTATTCCACCCCTCCGTTGGGCAGCCGGCCAGCGCCGGCGGTCACGGTCCGCAGCTTCTCCAGCAACCACCCCTCCGCATCCGAGGGCCGCTCCCGCCTCGTCGCGTACCCGACGCGCGTGCCCTTGCAGTACACCAGCCACTTGGTCGAGTCGAGGAGCGCGCCGGGAGAGGCATTGGGCGGCGTCCACTGGCGTTGGTACTCGAGCACGATCCTGCCCGCCGCGGCGATGTCCGCACCGCCGAGGCCAGCCGGCAGGTCGAGGACGAGGAAATGCTCGTCGTGGTCCACTGGTTGGTCCGCGGCGGGCCCGTGCTCCTGCAGGAAGAGGCGGACGCGGCGGTCACCGGCGGAGGGCACGATGAGCGTGCCACGGACGATGGCCGATTTTGTGGTCGGCGCCGGGGGGCACGGGAGGAACGTGGACGCGAGGACGCACCGGACGTGGTTCCACCACGCAAGCCACGCGACATGGCAGCTGTAATATGTCACCTCCTCGCCGGCGGCCTCGCCAGCGCCGCCGTCTTCAACTGGCACTACTGCAGGTGGCATGGATCACGTAGTGCGGCCGCGTTCCGGGGACGTGGCGCGAAGAGTAGTTAGTTATGATCTATCCTATTTTATTTAGATGCGCCCGCGTTCCGGGGACGTGGCTTCGGACTCGTCTCAGGAAAATCGGAACTATATCGTTCACGTCAGAGTTATCTAAAAACATAGTTTTGTAACCTTTTTAAAAAACTGGTGGTTAAAAAAATAACATACACTCTACCAACCGTCTGTTTTATTTATTAAAAAAAAGTCATCTTCTGTACATACCGACCTTTCAAAATCTTGGTCAAAGATTCAATTCCGATGGACCTCCTAATAGTAGTGATAGTCAAGGCCGTAGTCGGCTATCCCGCCACCGTAACTCACATCTAGAACGTCCAAAATCGAATCTCTGTTACTTGCTCTATCTCTCAATATCCTTAGATATGAAAATAATGGTCGGAGATCCAATTCCGATGAACCTTCAGGTGGAGACAGGCGTGAGCAACAAGGAGTGACGAGGAAAAAAAGAAACAACACCAAGGGCGCCATTATTGATAGGGAGTACCGACCATCCGCATATCTTTGCCCATGGATGTCTCCGTTAGAATGAGAAGTTGTTGGAGTGGGACTTCTTTCTATCATGAAAAAACAAGATTGGAAGAGGGTTTACCAAACTATTGGAGATGCTCATTGTCACTATTTTATAAACTGGACTAGTAAACTTATACGATTGCCGCACTGCTCTAGGAAGACGATGGTAGCATCCAAAAGATACGATGATTTATACTGGTTCAGGCCGGAGCCCTACGTCCAGTCTCAGAGATGATCAAGTGCGTGTTTCTCGCTTGAATGCTCTGAAATTCTAACAATGGGGGATGCAAGAATGATGAAAGAGGTAGGAGAGCTAGAGCTAGAAAACGGGCTGCCCGAAAGAAAGCTTCAGGAGCCCATCTATGGTGTAAGAATGAGTGAATGAGAGTCGGATCCCTAAGATGGGTGCCCTAGCTACCCTTATATAGAGTTCGGGGTCAGGGCATACACAAAGAAGAAGGTTCTCCCGACCGAAGGGTTATGAGCCTGAGGGAGGGCCTAGTTAACTTGGCTTGCAAGCTACGCTGTCTTGTGGTGCACGTCTGGGCATGGTTGTCGTCATAGTCTTGTGGCCATGACGTGGCATGGCGCGACGTGGTGCTACTGTGCCGGCCGTGGCGGCACTATAGGCACGGTGGTGGTTCGCCAACCGTCCTGTGTGACGTGGTCTCTGTTGTGGTCTTCGTCATCGCCTCCTGGTTTCCTGGGGCATCGTACAGGAGTTGGTAACCACCCTCGGGTCGTCGATCACCCTATGGGCTTGAGGAGCTAAGGACCACGATCCCGATCGTTGGGGTCGTGGCTCCAGTCGGTCTGGATGGCCTCTAAGTCAAGGCCTTTGTCGTGTATCCCATCCTATAGTGGGTAGAATCATACATGTGTCTTGTCGGACCGTAGTTGGCCGGTGGTTTTCGTACCGATCGTCACCGCCTTGGGCGGTGTTGTCTTGTCTTAGCTGCGTGGCGCAGGGATGATGTCTGACCGGACCAAGGTGACTGTTGTCCCCTCGGTCCTTGCGGAGTCAGAGTGGCATGCCTACTCCTATCATATCGGGCACGTTTGACTGGGCTCGACCTCTCCCCGTTCGTCCCAAGGGTCATGGCGGTGAGAGGTCATGCGTCTCTTGTGCATCATGTGGCTAAGGCAGAAGAGAGGGGTCGTGGCTGACTCTGGCCTTGGTGAAAGGTCCTTGTGTGGTTTTGGTAATTGAGTGACAACCTAGGTGGACTAATTGTGTTTATGTGAGATACACATGTGATTAGTTCATAGGTACATGTGTGTGAGCAACATATGCCATGAAAGTGAAAATGGCTTGGAGATATTGCAAAGCTCACACATGTGATGATGAAGGAGCTCATTGCACATGAGACATGACATTGAGTCATGTGATCAAGGTGGAGAAAATCAAGACAAGACTTGGCTTGATGGACCGGTTGCAAGTCGGAGGCTTTGGAGCGATGGACCGCGTGGCGGTGAAGCTTGAGCAAGACTTGGCGCAGATGGACAAAGGCAACGGTGAAAAGCAAGTAAAGTCAAGATCGATGAACCAATAGAATCACGTGATGATATGAAGTGGATCATATCATTGTTGATTATGTTGGTGCATGTGTTGCATCGACATTAGAGAAGATGGAAATGGAATGTGCAAGGCAAATGTATAATCTAGGGCATTTCATTTCATCGGTCATATGTGTGTAGAGAAGTTTATGACCGAGTTTAGGATAGATGGCCGTACTATCAAGAGGGGCAAACTTATTTATATCGGTCATCTAGTGCCACTCGAGTAATCTAACTTTGCATCGTCGCTAGGATCGAGTGGCGTGGCAAGTTGAGTGGCTAATCCTTTGGAAAATATTTGTGAAAAGCTAACACACATACACACGGTGGTGTACACTTGGTGGTGTTGGCACATTTGCAAAGGAGAAGAAGTTGGTGAAGAAAAGGAGTTAGTCGTGCTGGTCACAGAGTGACCGGACGCGTCCGGTGTGGATACCGGACGTGTCCGGTATGTTATCTAGACTTCGGGTAGTTTGACAGGAGTGATCGGACGCGTCCGGTGTGGCTACCGGACGCGTCCGATATTTGGACCCAAGGTGAGCGACTAGGTGAAAGTGACTGAACTCTGGCTCAGAGGAGTGACCTGACGCTGAGGAGTTACTGTTCAGCGTCTGGTCAAAGAGACATAGCCTGATGCAGGATCGTAGACAGCGACCGAACGCGTCCGGTCGCCATACCGGACGTGTCCAGTATGACTCAGCAGTCTCGGGTTTTAGTGCTATAATTGATCGAACGCTGGGAGCATTCGGTCCAGAGTGACCGGACACATCCGGTAGGCCCTGGGTGCTTACTGGACGCGACCGGACGCTGCGGCTCAGCGTCCGGTCGTTTCAAACAGCGCGTCCGATGCAACATGTCAGAGAGGGCCGTTGGCGGCAACGACTAGTTTGAATGGGACACGTGGTGGGTCAGCTGCGACCGGACGCGTCCGGTGCAAACGACCTGCGCGTCCGGTCGTCCCGAAATTTGCCCAGTGAAGGGGTGACGGCTAGTTTAGCCCATGGGGCTATAAATAGAAGGTGGTCTCAGCCATGGCTAGTGTTGAGCACCTCGGGGGACTTTGTGTCCATGCTTGTGAGTGCTTGGGAGCCCTCCATCTCACACATACTTGATAGTGATGATCTGATTGTGTGAGAGAGTGATTCTAGTGTGATTGCATTGTGAGGTTGCATCGAGTGGCACTAGGTGGTCGTCTTGCAAGCTAGTGGTGCTTGTTACTCTTGGAGGTTTCCACCTCCAAGATGGCTTGGTGGTGGTCTCCGTCGAAGCCTGCAAGAAGCTTGTGCGGTGCTCCGGAGAAGAGCTTTGTGAGGGGCATTGTGCTCACCCCGCGGGAGCCGCGAAGAGCAACTCTAGTAGAGCGTTTCATTGAGCTACCCTCACTTTTGGGGTAGGTTCTTGCGGTTCCCGATGTGCGGGCTTGGCGGGTGATGCCAATTAGCCACCGAACCACCAAGTGAGAGGTCGACACAACAGAGACTAGCGTGTTGGTAAGCACGTGAACCTCGAGAGAAAAATCAACGTGTCAACTTTGTTCTTCCCGTTGGTTTGCATACTCGTTACACAAGCTTGTAATTACTTTCATATACATTGTGCTTGTGTAGTTGCTCTTGTAATTAGTTTGCTCGTGTAGCTCACTAGTTATCTTCTTGCTTGTGTAGCATAGAAGTAGCTCCCTTGCGTGGCTAATTTGGTTTGTGTAACCTTGTTAATCATATTGCTTAGTTTGTATAGCTAAGTATTTGCGCTCTCTAATTTAGCATTGGTTGCCTTGTTATTGAGCATTGCTAGTGTGCTTAGGAGCTTTGTGCTTTTGCTTACTAGCATGTGTAGGAGCTCCCTCGTTGCTTGAAATACTAGTGGCATAGGTTTGTGTGACCTTACTCCTAGAATTGGATAGGTGAGCTCTAGCTAGCCCAGCACCTTTGTTGCCTAACTAGGATCTTTATAAGGTGCTTATGAACTTTGATAGAGGGGTGTAGTCTTGGCTAGACCGAATTATTTTAATTCCGCATTTGTTTCAGTTAGCCGACGCGATTAAATTTAGAAATGACTATTCACCCCCTCTAGTCGCCATCTCGACCTTACACTTGGCGTTCGGCCTAGCTCACTTGGCTCAGCTGGGCCTCGATCGCTTCGGGCTTTCGCTGGCTATTGTATAATGGGACGCTTTGGCCTGTCACTTAGTCGATGCCCTGAGTCACCCCGGGTTTATAACCCCAACAGTAGCCCCCGAGCGTTTTTGCGATCACGAAGTGATCGTGAAAGCGCTGTGTTGCGTGCATATCAAATGCGGGTTTGTAGTTCACGGCTTGTTCGAGCTTCATCGCTTGACCCTCTGAGGGTTGGTGCGTTCAATGCGGTAGGTGGCCATTGTGTTTCACTCCGTCAGGATGTCCTAACGACGTGGTACGTGACCTTTGAGCCCTGCCGTGTTAGTGTGCCACATCTCAGGGTTCGTGACCCAGGCGGGGCTGAGTGGTCTCATTGACCTCACATGGGCATCTAACATTGGTTGTGACCTCCTGTGGTTCACCACGCAGCACGGGGATCTCAGGCTATTGAGTCTGTCCCTGGCCTATAAATAGAGGCCTTTCTACCATTTGAGGCACGCATGGCTGTGATTACAAATTGATCTATGCCTCCCTGACTGGTTAGGAGCTGAGAGGATGAGGAAATGGAGAGAGAGAGAGATTCGAGGGGAACTAAAAGTGCATTTGCCCCCTATTTGGGTTTTGGTGTATTGATGACATCCAAATTAGGGACTAATGTGACCTTAATGAGACATGTCGCAGCTATTAGTCCCATGAAAGAATTAAAGAGTTGATAAAGATGAAATGGTATCCCTCAATTCTTGAAGTTGAAAAGGCGGA